CTCTTCTCTCTTGACACTTTTCTTCTTCCCTAGCTAAACCCTGGCCGCCATTTCATGGCGGCCTTCTTCATTGCTTGTTAGCTCGCATTCGAACAGGTAAGTCCCTCACGTAAGCTGCAAAGCGGTTGCTCGCAAATTAGACTGATTAATTCGCCCAACTACGATAGCGTTTGCGCTTACCTGAGTACAAGCACACGACGAAATTCCCCCTGCCCCGGCGGAGCATTCGCCAAATGGACCAAGCTCAGTTCAACGAGCTTCGGGAGCAGTTCAACGCCATGAACACACGCATGGCTACAGTGCTGGAGGACAACGAGCAGCTTTGTGCATAAGTTGCTGAGTTACGCCAGGCGCGAGAGGATTCGCGTCAGAAAACTGCCGCCCAAGAGGAGGTCGCCAGCACCGGACGTGTCGAAACCGTCTTGGATGAAATCGCACGTGAGGTGTCACTGGAGCGCAAGGATGGTGAAGCCGCCGCAGCAGCTGACGTGGCAGCACGCGCAGCAGCCGAAGCAGCAGCAGCAGCAGCAGCAGCGGCAGTAGCAGCCGCTCGGTCAGAAGCAGCCGCTACTGTAGCCGCACCAGCGTTTATGCCGATCGTGACGACAGCGCCGATCAAATCGACAATGCCGCCCCCGTTCAACCCCACAGATAAGAATACTACTGTTACGGGCTGGTAATTTTTGGCGGAACTTAATTTTAATGCCGTTGGGATCACTGCTGATGATTTAATAATTCGGCTGGCTGTATCACTATTGGGGGGACCTGCGCTAGATTGGTGGTGATGTACACTACAGGAGGGGGAGTTTTCGGCAGGTCGGGGCGAAGGTCTGGAAGAAGTCAACCCCCTCGCGCTGACTGAAGCCTCTGGCCACGTAGCGCGCCTTGAAGACAGGCGGCTCTCCAGGGGGACGCTTCACCTTGAAGAGCCACCAACCATCGACTACGTTCACCCCAGGCGGGGGAACTGCGTCGACGTAAGTGCCGGTGGACCTCCAAGATGCCATCTCCTGCTCCATGGCAGCTATCCACTGAGAGGCCCAAGGTGCCGAGGTGGCCTCAGCGTAAGTGCGAGGGGTCGGGATGTCGAAGGCGTCTAGGTCACCCTCAGGGACTAACAGCATGGAGCAGAGATGGGGAGCGGCCTCGGAAAGGAAAGCAAGCTCGTACTGCCTGTCCTCTAGAACGTCACTGCCAAGGGCAGGAGCACCCCCGACGGACGGAGGACGGGCAGGGTCAGAGACCAGAGCAGTAGCGTAGTCAAGGCGGCGGGTAGAGGCAAAGTCAGCGACAGCAGCGACAAGCGCGTCAAGGCGCGAGGCAGGAACAGACGGGTCGGTAACAAGAGAGGCAAGAACCCGAGGGACAAGGGGACGAGCGGCACGGAGGTAGTCAAACAACGAAGGAGGTGCAACAGCAAGCGACGAGGTAGGAGGGGACGGGAGGAGGGGAGGACGAGACGAGTGGGAATGGAGCAACATAGGGTGGGAGCGCAGGACAGGAGAGACGGGACGAGCACGGGAGGGACGGCGAGACCAAACGTGGGACGGAGGTTCAGGGTCAGGAGACATCGGAGGGGACACAGGAGGGGAGCGAGGAGGAAGACGGGCCGGAGATGAGTCCGGCGGCGGGAACACAGGACCGTAGACAGGAAAGTCAGAAGGCGGTGGGGGAGACACCGGCAAGCGGTCAGGGGAGGGAAGGCCGAGCAGGCGGAGAGCGGAGACCGGCGGCGATGGCTGCTGCTGCTGCTGCGACTGCTGGGCCGCAACCCTCGGACCGGCAGGGGTAGGACGACCGCCGGCAGAACACTCAACAGCACCACCCCCAGAACCAACACCCCCAGAGCAAGAGCCCCCTCCAACACCAGCGGCACCCCCAAAGCCACAGGACGAACACCCTCCTCAGTGCCAGCACCCCTAGAGGCCAAGAGCAGCGGCGACGGCGGCGGCGGCTGCGGCGGAGTCGGCGACTGCGACAGTGGAGGCGGAGACACCAGGGAAGGGGGACGCGGTAAGGACGGGCCGGGGGTACCACCAGAGTCAGCACACTCCTCAACGGGGACAACCGATGGGAGGGGAGTGACGTGAGAGACATCAGACGGGGCAGGACGAGGCGGGAGAGGAGCAGGGGCTACCGGGGGAGAGGGAGCAAGGAAATGGGGCGGGGCAACCGGGAGACCCCGGTGAGGGAAGCGACAGTAGAAGGAGACAGACTCGTCGAAGGTGACGTCACGAGAGTGGAGGAAGCGGTGAGATGGCGGGTGGTAGAAAAGCCAGTCAGATGAGTCCAGGGGGAAACCGAGGAAGACACAGGGGACAGTGCGGGCAGTGAGCTTGTCCGTGCCAGAGGCACGAACGTGAGCCAGGCAGCCCCAGACGTGGAACGTAGACGCGTCACCGGGGGACCCGGTCCAAAGGAGGGTCGGCGAAACCTGCGGCCGCTGGGAGCGGGGCCACAAGTTAAGCTGGTGAGCAGCGTAGCGAACAGCGAACGGCCACAGAAAATGGGGAGCATGAGTATGAATCATGGAGGTACGAGCAACCTCCATGACCAAGCCGATGCGGTGCTCAGCAACCCCATTCTGCTGTGGCGAGTCCGGCAAGGTGTATGACTGGGTGATGCCCTCCGCACGACAGAACTGTCCAAGCCGACCAGAGGTGAACTCGCCGCCACGGTCAGAGTGGAGACACAACACGGGGAGACCGCGGTGAAGACGCGCAGCCACAACCCATGGTAAAAGATTATCGGGCACGTCGGCCTTCCGCTCCTGGGGAAACACCGTGGTGTAGCGCATGTAGTCGTCAACGAGCACAAGGAAGTAGCGCTCACCACGCGGTCCGGGGACGGGGGCAGGGCCCCAGACGTCCAGGTGCAGGGTCTGAAGGGGGGCATTAGCAGGGCGCAGCGAGGAGGAGTGAGGAGCACGGCGGAGCCGGCCCTCGATGCAGGGCGTGCACGGTGGCGCAGTCGAGTGGGGAAGGGCAGGGAGCGACGCGGGGAGGCCTAAGACAAGACCGTGCTGAGACATGTGACGCAGACGAGGGGGAGCAGGGTGACCTAAGCGGTGGTGCCACAGAAGGGACGGGTGAGTGGGGGACCGATACGAGCAAGCTGCAGCGACCTGGGAGGACGCACCAACCGGGGGGGAAGCGGTGTCTAGGGTGAACAGACCGGACACCGGGTCCCGGGGGAACGTCGCAAGGGGGGAACCTAAGACAGCCTCAGAACAGACAGCGAACCGCTCGTGCCCGGGGAAACTAGTGGTGACGCCGAGGTCCTGGAGACAGCCGACACCAACCAGGCTCCTCGAGAACGAGGGAACGTGGGGGCCTGTAAGGGAGCCCGCGGGAACTGCTGGACAGGGTAGGGAAGTGGAGCTGCGGGCGATGACAGGACCCGCAGAGGGGCCAGCGAGAGAGACAACAGCAGGCGCAGCAAGCGGCGTGAGCATGGAACGGTCGCGGAAGAAGCAGGTAGAAGCACCGGAGTGGAGAGTGAAGGACAGCGAAGCAGTGGCGGAGGCCGGGAACGGAGCCGGTGCAGAGACAAGGCTAGGCAAACTACGCAGTCCTATGCCTGACGCAGCAGGGGAGGCTAAGCTACACAAGGGTGCAACAACTAAACTAGAGTACACAGGGTAATAAGATCAAGCAACACGAGAAGCGTCAGAATACAAGGCATGCAAAGCAGCACCTATCTGATCCATGTCCAACTCAAAGATCGGCACGCCCTGGCGGAGCAGGCTGTGCCAGTCCTAGAGGTCCACGGCCGGGCCAAAGCGACGACGAAAGAGATCGTCGAGGCGACAGAAACAGCGGGCGGTCGAGTGCGGGCGGCAGCACAGAGTGCCGCGGAGAGGCCCGGTCTGAAGCTGGTACTGGCAGGTCACAGCACCGGAGCCGCCGGTAGACACCGAGCTGCGCGGGCCGCCACCACGGCCACTACCTCCGGAGGTGCCGGGCCAACCAGGCGGGCGACGGGCCCACTGCTGCGGCGGCTGCTGCTGGGACGGCGGCTGCTGCTGGGGCTGCTCTTGCGGCGGAGGGGACTGCGTCTGCTTTTGCCCACCAGTGGTAGTCCTCTCAGGCGGACTACCGTCACCACCACCACTCCCACCACCACCAGCGCCACAACCCCGACCTCCCTGGCGGCCACGGCCACAGCGACGCGAGCGCTGCTGCGGGTGGACCGCAGCAGCAGTCTCGGTAAGAGGGGTCGCAGTGGCGACCGCAGCCGAAACGTCAGTAAACGTGCACTGGGAGGGGGCACAACCGTGAAAGACAGAGGCTGCCGGCGCACCGCTTGACTGAGCGATAGTGCGCTGGCGAGTCTCGATCTCAGTGAGGGTGTCGACAAAGGCGGTCAGGGTGAGGTCACCCGGGTGCTGGCTAAGGAAGTGGTCGCGAGCACTAGCTAGGCGGTCCGTAGGCGCATGGCGATAAAATAGAGCGTCATGCAGAAAGGGGGGGGGAGCGCAGTGAGCTGGGCAGCAGTGCTGGCAGTGCGATAGCGAGTCTCTAGGGCATGCAAGTGAGTGGCAAAGTCTGCGACAGTAGGGAAGGCAGCAAGGTCTGGGAACAGCATCGAGAAGAGCAAGCGGCCGGCAGGAGCGGATGCAAGAGTGGAATAGCGAGCAATGACGGCGTCTAAATAAGCTTTGGCCGTATCAACCGTGGCGAAACGCGAGCGCTCAGAGACAGGGAGGGCGTGGCTAATAGCAGCCTGAGCTACAGCATTGCGGGAGTCCCAGACCGCACAGGCAAGCGCAGCAGTAGAGAAGGTCTCACGGTC